ACTGTAATTTTAGGTAAAGGAACGTCTCTCTGAGAAAGTGATGAAATAACAGAAGGAACTAAGAGATTGAGCAGAGGATATATCTAGGGAAAGTCCATTAAGAAGAGGCAAGTGGAAGATCAAAGGTCCTCAAGCAAGAACCTGCCAGTGTATTTGAGGAGTCATAAGGTAGTCCCTTTGGCTGGAAGAGAGAAAGTGAGAGACAGAGGCAGAAGACCATGGGAGGACCCCGTTACATAGCCTCAGAAAGATGTTGGAAATTCAAAAGTGTTGTCCTTTACTTTGAGCAACTGTTGAAGAAGATGGGTTTCACGATCAGTCTTAACTTTGACAAAACCACTGATTATTTTGCTGAGAATAATTTGGAGGACAGGGAAAATTTGGCAGCTTAGTTTTAGAAAAACATTGCAGTAATCCAGGAGAGAAATCATGGTGAACTGGACCAGCATAGGAGGTAGTGAGAAATGACTTAACTCTGGATATATTTTGAAGATGGAGTGAACAGGTGTGGTATGAGAAAATGAGACAGGTAAAGGAGCAACTTGAAGAAGGCTGTTGCCATTTACTGCAGTGGGGAAGACCATGGTGAGCAGCCTCACAAGGAAGGGGAATAATTGCTTATAGTTGTCAGGATGGGTGAGTTCATCAAGGCAGTGACTGTAGAAGTCCAAAGACTGAGCTCTAGAACACTTCAGAGGTGTGTGACCAACTATTCCAATTTGTTAAAGACTCAGCAGTTTCCAGGGACATGGGACTTCTGGGAAATGTTGACAAACTGAGATGATTGCTCATTCACTCAGAACATAGGAAGATGAATAAGAAACCCATGAAAAAGTATATCAAAGAAACAGGTGACACTTTGTTCTTAGAGCCAGCTCCAGATAGAAGATGGCTCTCAACTCTGTCAGATGCTGCTCATGGGGCCAGTACAATGAGAATTAACCACTGAAGTTATCAATATATAGGTCACAGGGAACCTCCATAAGGGCAGTTTTCATTAAATTTTAAGGGATAGAAAGACTGATTTCAGTGGGTTCAACAGTATCTTAGTCTGTGTAGGCTGCCATCAACTAGCTGGTTTAAACCACAGAAATTTACTTTCTCATAGTTCTGGAGGCTCAGAAGTCCAAAATCAAGGTGCTGGAAGATTTGGTTCCAGGTGAGGGCCCTCTTGCTAGCTTGCAGATGGCCACCACCTTGCTGTGCCCTCACATGGCAGAGAAGGATCTTTTTCTTCTTATAAGGCTACAGTACTATGAAATTCAGTCCTCACTATCTGACCTTGTTTAGCCTACTGAAGACTATCTCCAAATACACCGACTTGGGAGTTGGATTTTCAATGTAAGAATTTGCAGTGGGGGAGACACAATTCAGGTCACAGCAAAGGAAGGACTAGAGAAATTGAGAAGAGCAAAATATAAATAACACTTTCACAGATAAATAACACTGTGCAGAAAAGGAACAAATTTTTGGCAGGAACATGATGTCCTGCAATAGGTTAGAGGGCGTGGATTCTAAGGACAATTTGGGGATTGAATTCTCCAAGGACCACAGAGATTCATCTAAGGGAACAGGAGAAGAGGCAGAATAGGTGGTCACAGGTGCACAGAGGCCTATCCAAGTAGTGGAAGAAGAGAGAGTGCCTATCAAAAATTCCTTCTAGTTATTTCTGTTTTCTTGGTGAAACAGAATGCAAAGCTCATCAGTTGAAAGAGGAAGTCATGGCAGTTTGAGGTTGGAGGAAAATGTATGAAGGTCATCTAGGAGAGCAGGAAAGTGATGCACTAGAGAGATGTAATATAATTACCAGGGAGCATCAAGGACCTACTTAAGGCCTGTGGTTATGACTTTCAAGATCAGTCATGAGGAAGTGTGAAAGGCACAGGGTGATATCCTACTGACAATGTAATGTATCCCTTTTTGCCTTGGTTTAGAGTCCATTGGGGCTTACCTTCTCTCCTGCAGAGATTAAACTTCTTGACCACAGGAGCTTTAATCTTTTTTTCATCCTTATCCCAATGACCCCAGCATAATCAATGACTTAAAATAGAAAGTGTTTAGACTCATTCCTAAACAAATGATTCTAGAAATGCCAGAGAATTCTCCTCCACTTGGTAGAGGGTCCTAGGATTGGATTTGTGGTGATGGAGACAGGCCAGATCCACTTACTGAGAGAGAGGCTGGGGACATTCATGAATGGGACATGGAAACTAGCCCTCTGGCTCCTTCCATAGGTTTCCTCCAATTCCTAATAGCCACAGTACAAATGCTTTCTTTCATTCATTCAGTTAACAGATATTGAGGTACTACATAAGCAACTACACTTAGAAAATGCAATACAACTGACATAGGTGAACCTAAAAGAACATAAGCTAATATTTATTGAGTAATTACTGTTTGATGTACTGTTTTAAGAACTTTAAGCTTGAAGTTGATTAATTCTCATGATACCATGAAAATATTAACATTATATTGTTATCATGAATATTCCATTTTATAGATATTGTTTACCAAGGTTATCCACTAGTAAGAAGCAGAAAGGAAAGCTGAACCCAGGCAGTCTGGTGCCACAAGACATATTTCTAGCCACTCTACTTCATTATCCATGTACCTTCCCTTAAGACTGGAGAAATCACTTCATTTAAGGGAACCAAACTACGTCCTTCCTCAAGCCCACTTGTTGAATATCAACCCTCATCTTTCCTTTGGATTCAAACATGGAGCATCCCTCTAGCAAGGAAGAAAAACACAAACACCTTAGAACTCGATATGGTGCATCCCAGGAAAGATGTGCACAAGGCCAAGGTTTGGAAGACTTGGGATCTAGTCAGGATTTCATTGTTCACTAAAGTAAGTCATTTAACCTCTCTGCACATCTTTGTATTTTTAACTGTAAAACTGGGATAGTCACACTTGTACTGCTTTTGTTACTGTAAGAATCTCATGATGGACTATGAGGAATACATTTTAAAATATTAAGGCTAACCACATCAGAAATTACTAGAAGACTAAAGCAGGTAAAATCAGAAACTGAGAGGCCCTAAGGAATACCCCAGGTCTAAATGACATCTTTCCAGGAGCAGTGGCTTCAGGCTGCTGAGACATCCCATGGGGAGTGAGGCAAAAAGAAAGAAAGAAGGAAAGGAAGTAGAAGAGTCTGTCAATAACTACTAGCTGCTTTGGCTCAGTCAGGGTCAGGCTGGTTCAGCTAAGGACATGTCACTTAGCAGACACACAGGTTGGGGCGGCCACTGGCTCTTGTGTGAGTCAAAACTAGGTGCCCCTTCCTCAAGACCCTTTGATTCCACCTGTCAGAAACTGTTCCAACAAACTTGTTTTGTTAACATAAGGTATTTCCTGGCATATGCCTGATAAATTATTGTAACAAATATAAAAATCCGCAGAGTTTTCACGTGAATGGCTCCCCCTAGGGTTTTTAGTGCACAACCACACACACTGGTTCTGTCTTGGATGACCCTCAACACTGCCCACACCCCCTTCTTTCACCCCCAAGTCAGGGTTATTTCTGTCTGTATTAAAAATACCAGAATATGTCATTTTAAAGTTTTATGACCAAAACTGAACATTTTTCGTTTCTGTACTTCAAACTATACTTTTGTTAACCCTAAATTCTCAAAAATTTTTGAATATCATTGACATCCAGGAGGGATTTCACAAACGCACTTCAGGCAGTCGGAAGTCTATGGTGTACATACACCTTGTGTATTGCTTTCTAAAAAACTGAGCAGCTATTCATGTTTAGATACAAACCAGTTCGATTCTGCACTTCAGTGGGGCTCATTTCTCTAGCCAAATGCCAAGGATTAAAAGCTGATATCAGGGAAAGAATCTCAAAAATTTGTTAAACAAGGTCAAATCCAGTTGGCATTTTTTCCTCCTTATACAGACCTTGCTTGTGTTTATTTCTTATGAAATAATCACTAATAAGTTACTTTTAGAGGATTCCTGGCTTGGCACTCAGCTGAGCACTGTACATGTATTACTGCATTTAATCCTCTCAGACACCTTATGAGATTTATGTTATTAGCTCATTTCATGGAAGAGAAAGTTAAGGCTTGAAGAGGTGATATAATTTTGCCTAAACTAAATAGCCAGTAAATTGAGGAGTCAGGGCTTCAACCCATTCACTTGGAATCCACAGTCATTTGGTCTCAGTTACCGGTTTGTGCCAGGCTCCCTTACTGCTGGATAAAATGACTAGGGGGCTAGGATGAGCCTTTTGGTCTGCTTGTAAACCATGAACTGCTGTATCTCTAAATTTTGAAGGCTAAGCTTAGCACTCAAACAAAGACCACTGGAGACAAGATCATTAGTGATCTATATCTGTAGGTCACTTTGTCACTCAGCATCCTGAACATCATGCATCTTTGGAGCAAGGCAAATCTGCATCATAATTTGCTTAGTAACTTAGCCAATATTTTATTTCTGTACATGAGAGCCAAGCAGTATTAAGAAAATATGCAAGTTCTAACTTTTAAACTCAGGGAAGCATTTTAAAGTTAAAACAATCCACTCCATTTTGCAAAACAACTGAATAAAATTTCCACTACAAAGCCAAAGTCCAATATTTTAATTTATTTAAGACCCTGAGCCATGTCACCTATCATTATCACTGCACCATTATTTGTGATACTCCCCCTCTAGTGGTCTCAATGAGTTAGCTTCCTCAACTAGCATACTTGGAGGAGGAATGAGGAATATTGTAGTTTTATTTGCTTTCTCTCTCTGATTTGATGGAAACTGTTTTCTTATCAAACTGCAAAAATGAAATCAGAGTTAGACTATGAAATATCCATTTAATAATAGCCACTTCTCACCCAGTGAGACAGAAGAGTGAAGGACCCAGTGATTTTTTACTACAATGAGCATTAAGGAAAACCCCCAGCCTCCTAAAATCCCAGAGATTTTACGACTTAAAGTTGAGGCTGACCCCACTGACATCACAGATCCTTCCTCCTGCAGTCACAATGCTGCTAAGCCACCCCTGGGAAGATGCCTCAGAGATGAAGACTTCAGTTAGTATGCAATCAAGATTCTTTAGTGTTTTGGCTTTCTAAGAAAAAAATAATAAACTTCTGTTCCCTTTCAAACAATAAATTCAACAAAAAATAAAGCTGGAAAATCAAGCTTCATGAGTTCAGGTATTTATGTCATGGACTATTCCAGACCTTTCAATTTCACTCTTCCCTACATTACTTGTATTTCTTATTACATATAAACAAAGTAATAAATCCCCAGAATGACATCCAGATGGCGTGGGCACTGCAGAGTAGATTATTCCCCATTATTTTAAGATTGTTTGATGTCAACAAAGTTCCTTAACGTCATGGAAGTGCCTGTGAGAATATGCTCTGCTAGCTGACTATGGGTGTGATGTGGACATGGGGGACAATGTCGGATGGGGTGGAGGGAAGAGGACAAGTGTAAAATAAATCCAAAGCCTCCCTTTAAGTTTTACCATGCCTTCAATAAAAAACATACGACCAATGCAAAACTTCACCTGCCATAGTTCCTGGCCTGACTCTGAATTCTGGTTGCTTAGATACAGATGTAAACAAAAGTGCCTCCCCAACTGCAGAGGAACAGCCGGAGGAAACTGATGGCCCCCTTCCTGGCACAGACAGTGACCAAGAAAATAAAGCAAGTACTTTTAGATATTCATATTAAAAATGGACTATTTTGCTCAGCTTTTTCAAAGCTTAGGGTTGCTTAGAGAGTTTGAAGCAATTCTGAAAGAATGGTTTGTCCTTTTCAGTCTTCCAACACTTTGTGTTTATTCTACCTCAACAAAATGACTGATGACAGCAAGGCTAAAAATAAAAATCTCAAATTTTAAATACATTAATCGGACTGACTTATATATAGTGCTACATTTTTAAAAATTTGATAATGATTTATTTTTATGAAGATTCAAAAGGAACCATCATAAACTCAAGGTGTAGATTTTATCATTAACAAGAAAAAAAAGAATAGTACTTGTTATATCTTCACCAGCAATTAAAAAGGCCATTCTAAGAAAACAATGTTTTTAGACTTTGGTAATTTTCCTAACTAGTGAGTATATTCTCTTTTTATGGAAAGAGCTAGCCAAAAGCTCTATATCAAGCACTGACTTATCTACTGACTGTACCACACTGTGTGATTTTAGGTGATTGCCTAACCTCAGTTTCTTCTTTTACAAAATGGGCTGTTTAGGCCAAAGTTGTCATGGGGATTGAATAAACCACTTAGGTAAAGTGCTAGCAGTCAGGAAGGGTTCCATCAACAGCTATGATGTGATTATTATCATTAATTTGATCTAAGCAAGTCTATTACTTCTCTGATCCTTAAGTTCTTTACCTATAAAAATAATCACCCTAAATGCTTTCCATAACATGAAAAATGTTAAAGTAACTGATGTTATCCATAATGTAAAAATAATTATACCCACTTTATAGGGCTACTGGTAGAATGAAATTGCATTATATACAAGAAGGATTTTGTAGTCTAAAACCATAAGAATTACAACACTTTAAAGTGTTATGAAAATGAAGAAAATGACTCAGAGGGAAAAAAAATCCCATAACTACCAAATTGTTTGACTGTGAAACATTGTTTTCAACATATAATCACATCCTAGCCTGTAGAAATGGGATGAAAAAGTACCAACTCCTCTACTCAATCAGCAAAGTTACAAAAATTAAAATACTAGTGGGGAGGTGACCAAAAACACCAAAAAAAAAATTTTAAATCCTGGCTTAGACACATAAAAATGCATTAAAAAGGAAATAATTTTACCACAGTGGTAATTGTACCACAATGGCAATTGTACCACAATGGTCTTTGTCTAGAATAATAAATAAGAATTTTTTTCCTCTAATCTTTCAATTTTCTACACTTTTCCAGCTTTTCCTCCATCATTACGTTTAACATTTGTCACTATAAGTATACTTTAAGTGTGTGTGGCCAGGCTCAGTGGCTGAGGCCTGTAATCCTAATTACTTGGAAGCTAGAGATTGAAAGGGACAAAGTTCCAAGCTAGCCCAGGCAAAAAGTTCATGAGACTCTGTCTTAACCAATAGCAGGGCACACCTCTGTCATCTCAGCTACACAGGAAGCATAAATAGGAGTTACCGTAATTGAGGCTGGCCTGGGCAGAAACTCAAGACTATCCCCAAAGTAATTAAGTCAAAAGGGGCTGGGGGCATGGTTCAAGTGGTAAAGTGCCTAGTAGCAAGTGTAAGTTCCTGAATTCAAACCCCAGTACCACCATTAAAAAAAATGTATGTGTGTGTATTGTATTTTTTGAGAAGATGCTATTTGTGATTTTTCAAATAATACAAAAATTAATAAAGTAGAGGCTGGTGGCATAGCTGAACAGTAGAGTTACCTGCCTGGCAAGTGTAAAGCCCTAAGTTTGAATCCCAGCACCACCAAAAACATTAATAAAATATCTCACACACTCACACACTGTTACACTTCAGAAGGAGAAAGAAAGCCAGTCATTCACTGATCTTGGACACAGTATTCATGATGCCTTTTCATTCCACAAATACAAAAGGTTATTAGTTGCCAACATATACCAAAACCAGACTCCCACTGGCCCCAGGGGCAGTGGAGAGATGAGAAAGAGAGAACTGGATGCAGTAGGTGAGGAGACCACGACCCAGTCCTGTGCCAGCAGGAAACAGGAGCCACAAGAGTTGACAAGGCAGATAGCTAGTCGGGTCCTCCAGGGAACTGGAAAGATATTTAGAGCATACACACTGAGTGACCAGTCGATCCATAGATTCATTCACCGGGGGGGGGGGGGGGGGGGGGGGGGGCTGGGCTGAGGACCATCCAGCCTCTTGCAGACTCCACTCAGCAATGAGGAGGGCCCAAGCACCGTCGTGGCGGCGGCTCACTGATTCCACTCTGATCAGCCTCCAGACTGTTGGGTTGCCCATTACCAAGTGGGTTGGGTCAGGAGAGCATGACTATGGCTTCAAATTTATAATCCTCTTTCCTCCACCTCTTGAGTGCTGGGATTACAGAGGTTCACCACCACACCTGGCTGTATGTGGATCTTAACATATTCTTCCATCATTCTAGTATTCATTAATATAAACCAAGAAAAAGTACCCTAGGATTATAGCTTGTTAATTTTTTTTAGCTGAGGTAGAATACCACTCACATTCTCCCTTTTGAATCCAGTTCAGTTCCTGCTTATTAAAATTAGGATAAAACTGTGCTCTTTTTAAACTTAAAAAAACAAAAGATCTTTAGAGTTCTTAGCATTTTTAGCACTTACTACAAAACAATGAGTACATTTGATATCTTCTTTCCTCAGAAAAATGTTGCCAAATAATTAACCTTCATCCAAACAGAACTTTCTAGAAATACAACTTTAATGGATGAGGTTGTCAGCTAAGTGTGCATATGACCAACTATGATAAATACTAATAAATTATGTATACAGCTGTGTTTTGTGCTTTTGTTTCTCATTGACTATAAAATATGGCATCCAGGTTTCTTAGAAAATTGCTTGGATAGGCTGGTTTTCTAATCTGCAGCTGTAGTTTTGAAAATCAGTTGATTCCCCTAGGAAATCAACATGTCAGGAATAACTTGCTCTGGGAGAACTTGTTTCATAACTCAGTCAGTAATTGCTGCATATTTTATTTAGGAATTATCTAGGAATAATCTATGGACTTGAGTTTTCTAAAAAGTCTTTCCTGATGTGACATCACATCTATGAAATCCAGCTCTCTAGTGTCTCCACCAGAACTTAATTTTTATTTTAGTCATTAGCAAAACAAGTGGGGCACATGCAAGACTAACTGGGCTTATGGTCTATGGTATACATTTTTTTCAAAAAATAAAGCATTTATTTAAGGATAAAATGATAAGAGTAGCCAGCATAACAGCAGATAATATATTTTAAATCATGACCTTTGTTTTAGGTAAGATTTTCTCCAGCCAAAATGTCAACCAAGAATTCTACAGATCTAGTTGAATATGTTGACAAGTAAGTCTATAAATTACTGGTTTTAACTACTTACTGCATTTAATGATTCAGTGAGAGATTAAGGTGCTTGGTAAGACTTCTGAATTCATCTAAATTAGTTTTCTACTTTCAGAATAGCCTAAACCACCTCAGGAAGATGAACCTGTCCATCCTACTCCTTTCTGACTAGCAGAACTACCAGATTTTACTGCATTCTTTTTAAGTGACTTCCACAGATCCCTGTAGATTTATGGGTAAAATAATGAAAGAGAGGGAACAGATGGCATATGATAACATCAGATATAGCAAACTATGACTTCCAAAATAAACCAAAGAGATCTGTTAACACTTCATGATAAATAACCTTGCACATTTATAATATTATTGACATAGACATATTGTCCCAAAGATCTGAGAATTCTAGTTTGTAAAGGTGGGATTTCAGAGGTAATGTATACTGGTTTGTGTTGTCTTCTATTCAGCGTATCAGTCATCACTGGTCTGATGTTCCCACTAATATCTTCACGCCTTTAAGGATTTAATCTCAGTCCTTCCACTAATTTGCTCAGTCAGTTCCATAAAGTTTTTAGGTTTTAGTTCTTTCTTTTCATTTGCAAAATGAGGAAGTTGGACTAGATGCTCTCAAGGGTGCACTGCAGCTTTAAAATAATTCTGATTCTAAAATATATATCATAAGCACAGAAGAAAATAAGCAAATAAGTAAAATGAGTTGATATGAAGAGAAAAATCTAAATATTAGGCTTGGATTTTTAAATTTAATTGTCTTTAACAATGAAAATAATAAAATTTTAAATTCTGATTTCATCACAATAGTTCCACAGTTAAGAATTCCCATTCCTTAGCCAATTAAATTTAATATTCCAATAATCTCATATCTCAGTCCCTCTTTTCATACTCCCCTTAACTTGTAATTGCTTATGTGACTATGATGAATCTATAATTTAGAAAAATAAGAACCAAACATGGAAAAGGACTTTTCAATGTTTAAAAAGATTGGATAAATGGAACTTTTTCTGAGTTAAGGACAAATGTGGTACATACAAAAATAATTCTAAATGAACATATTAGCTTAACTTTACCATCCAAAGGAAAAAGGGAGACTGGTTTCCCCCTGACTCCACATGACAAATGGAAACTTGACCTATCAAGATAATTCCAATAGGAACCCAAGTGGATTTGTTTAGTACAGTGACCTGCATTCCAGGAGATAAGAGAATAAATTCCTGGAGTGGGTAACAAACTTAAGAAATCCAAGAATTTTTTTGGTATCTTGGATTTCAGAGAAATTGAAATTAAGACAAAAGGACTAGAGTATCTAATTGTGAATGAGAGCATGGTAAAGATTATCTGATCTCCAACATTCATTTCTACTGTGGTCTCTCTCATACCCTTTCTCTTGATGTCTAAATCAAACATCTCTTTCTATTTAGCACCTGAGATGGTTGGTTCCCTCTTTGGTCTCCATCATCTAATCTCTCTGTATGGCTGCAATTCCCTAAAGACAAGGACTTATATGCCTTATGTTTCTTTATTCACCTACAGTAGCTTGTCATGGCACATTGGATATCAATTCCTGGTAAACTGTGGTTGACAGATTGAATGGATAGTTTGGATAGAAAATTGAATTGTGAGAGCTCTTCATAAAGCAGTAGACTTATGGGTTGCTGACTTACTGGAAAAGCAAAATGTCATCACTGCAGAATTTTAAATTGATTTATTTAATCCAATAAAGTAAATATAAAAACAAGTTTTTAAAGTAACTATACCCTTCAAAGCATACCATTCACTGGGTGGCACCACAAGTACTGGCAAGCAAACAGGGTATTAGACAGTTAAAGGTCATTATCAATTCATTAAACTACCTAATATTTATTACATATTCTGAGTGATTCAGCCTCATCCATTTACAGGTAATACTCAGAACAAATAATAACACCCCAAAAAAGCAAAAATCCAACAACAAAGGCCAGGCACAGTGATTCTTACCTCAACCTCAATTATTTCAAAGGCAGAGGTCCAGCCAGGGAAAAAGTGCAAGACCCTGTCTGAAAAACAAACTGAAAGCAAGTGTGAGAGCATTTGCCTAGCAAGGATGAGGACCTGAGTTCAAACCCAATTGCTACCAGAAAAAAAAAAAATTTAAATCCAACAACCAAAGAGGTAATGCCTTTCCTACGGAAAAGGTTGGGCCAGAGAGAGATACATTAAGAAGACAGTCTGACTGATTGTGTTAACAAAACGGCCTTCTTGCCCTCAGGCAGTGGGAGCAATGCCCACACATTAAATACTTGTTAAATGTTGGGTCGCATCCAATTCATGGGGAAAGGGTGTCAGAATGCTTGCATCTACTGACAGGAAGATTATTAAAGGCAGTAATTCTGATTTGTTCAAAATGAGCAGACATCCAGTGATTTTTATGACTACATCCTATGCCCATTTAAGCTTAACTGAGCAGAAACATAGCAAAGCCGAGTTTCTTGGCATTTTTCATCTGCTGGTGGAAGGAGCATTAATTGAAGCCAGGACACCTCAGATATACTTTGGAATCTGCCTCCAATCAACTATGCCACCTGGAGAATAAGAACACCTCTTCTCTGAGCAATCCCTGTTTGCTCTACAAAACAGAGTGGGGTTTCCAGTGATCAGTAATGAGCACTTGCTACTTCTCATCTCTGCCCATTTCTCAGCAATTACTCAGCATTTCTGTGTAATAAAGTAGATGGCTAAGAATTAACAACATTCATTATTCTCCCACAGGATTTAATTTTGAATGGAAAACAAATTGTGCTCATAAATCTCTTTTTATTTTTCTTTCATTGACTTTCCCGGTGGGAAATCCCTCACTATGGAGTCAAATACTTTCTAAGGTTTGTCCTAGCCCTCAGATTCTTTGGTCTTCAAAAACTTCAAAACCCATTTATTTACCTAACAAATGTTTATTAAGCACATTCTATATAGCACTACTGCACTAGGCCCCTGGAGAGCCACATGAATAAACTAGACAAAGGTTCCTGCCTCACAGAGCTTCCAATACAAGAAGAGACACACATTGCTAGACAGCCTGGTTAGGGTAAGCCTTGCTGAGAACTGGTATTTGAGCCAAGACCAGGGCGTGAGGAATTTGGCCACATAGATATTTTGAGGAAGAGCAAAGTTTCTAAGATAGCAATGTAAATAGGGTGATGATGGCTGGAGTAAAAAAGGACAGAAAAGCTAATTTGAGCTATGAAGTTTCAGGATTTGCTTTGAAGGTCTCCTGACAGAATGATTTCTGAGTCTTTCCTGCCCATGGGGGAGCTCTAAATTTCCTATACACAAAGGACACCAGAGAAAGGAAATTGTTTCATACTGAGCAGTTGCCCAGGCTGGACTATGGCCAATGTATGTATCTCTGTAATTCATTTTGGGAAGATGAGGGTCTGGCTGACAGCCAAAGAATCTTGTTTAAAATTTGGGTTCATAAAACTTTTAGCAAGTCAAATGGGCACAATAATAAATGATTAATAATTTCTCGTTGTGTGTAGAATATGGCATTCAGGGTCTGAAAGCATTCATTTCCAAGACTTTTTTTAGCACCATGGAAGACGTTTTATTACATCATGATTCACTGCTTTATTACTACATCATAAAGACGGATACTTCACAGTACAGTACATGAGAAAGAAGACCAAAAAAAAAAAAAAATCCTCTGTTAAGCTTTCTATTGATAAGTCATGTTACACTGCATAGCTCTGCCATCAGCCACAACACAAACTTTTATTCTCTCATCTTCTCCCACTGACCCCTGCCTGTGATGGGCAAGTTGCTGGCTGTGAGTTACACAGCCATAGGAACTGGGCATTACCCATGATGACTCCCAAATTCATCAGGGCAAGGCTACTCAGATAACTCACAGTTCCTCATGCCCAGGGGCCTCTCCATTCTTGCCACATCTAACAGCTTCTGCTCAAGTAAAGGAGCCCACGGAGGTCAGGCTGAAGCCCATCTCAGTCCTCTACAGGGATTGACTCAGTGAGGAGAGATGTGAGCCAGCCAGGGATAGGTAACTAGGGTACAAACTCACATGACGTCAGACGCAAGCTACATACCAAGAAGCAGAGGAACAAACACACCTACCTCTCTGAGAAAAGTGCAAAGGTATCAGGAAGAGCCACTCAGTGGCCTAAACAAAGCTGATGCAAGGTAGGGGAGAGAGAAAAGCTGTGTTAAAATGTTTCCCAGCTGAGTTATTGATAACCTCCAAGCCTCAGTCTGAGAAAAATTTTACTTATGCCACCAAAATGAAATGAAGCTTGTGATCATGATATGTTGACTACAAGCACTATATAGAAATGTGATGTTGTTATAAGTTCCTTGCATTTCTCCTGCTTTAGGACTTCCTGTCAAATAACTTACCATTCGTATTAATTTCCCAGGACTGCTATAAGATAGTACCACAAACTGGGTGGCCTAAAACAATTGTGAGAGAATTGTATCATCTCACAATTCTGGAGGTTTGAGGTTCAAAGTCTAGGAGTCAGCAGGATAGGTTCCTTCTGAGATCTGAGGGAAAACTGTACCTCTGTACCACCTAGCTTCCAGTGACTGCTGGCAATCCCTGGCTATGCTTGGGTGACAGATGTATTACTCCAGTTTCTGTCTTCACTTGACTGCCTTCATGAAACGATACCAGTCATGCTGGATTAGGGTTCCACCCTACTAATTACATCTGCAAGGACCCTTTTTCAAAATAGTCACATTCTGAGATGCTAGATGTTAAGACTTAAAATGTATCTTTTGGGGAAGACACAATTCAGCCCAAAATGCCATCTAGTAATTACAAATAATTACAAAAACACAGGCTTACAACACTTTACACTTCCCGAAGAACTTCAGGTACGTTATTTAAACCGATCCTCTCTACAGCTGGGTAGGGCAGGAGTCATTCTCTCCATAAGACAAAAGAAGCACTACTTCTGGCCACCTAACAGAGGTTCAAGGCAGAGACAGAACTTAAGTCA